GATTTCTTCGTAAAGTTTTCCAGTACTGCCTCGGATATTCACCCTGGTCCATGCACCCTGAGAGGAATTTGGCTGTCACGTTTGGCTGCCACGTTTGCCTCACGTTTGCGCTTTGAAATATTATTTAAAATTGGTTGTTTTAAACCATTCGAAGGTCTGGATAATTTTAGCAAGTGAAGTAGGTATAGAACTTACTTGTTAATGTTTTTTATGAAAGTCACGCTTTTGGCACTGTACCTTTTGTCATAACAATAGATTTGTGCATTTTCTTCTTAGATCGATGATCTCAAGCCAAAGTTCAATGAAAACCAGGTCGCGAAGGTTGAAGAGCGAATGACTACTACTCTAGCTACTATTTCAACCAAATTGAACGATACCGTAACTAAAATTGACACGGCGATAGAGCAGTTGGAGAATTTGCATGCAAACATTTCGGATGGAATCAAAAATAATTTGAATGTTAGTGAGATTCTTAAAAGCTTAGATGGAATTTGGGAGGAATTAGACTCAGCGATGGATCCGGTGGAGGGAAAGATGACCGAAACTCTGAATAGCGTGTCCAGCTTCCTTAATAATTATCATTCGCCCGTTAAGGCTGTTCTCCTCGTCCTGGCCATACCCTTCCTTCTAGCTACAATTCTCTTTACTCTATTCCTTATCGTTTTCATCGTGGAGGCCATTTATCGCCATCTGTTCTCTCTCAATGGATCTTCCCCCTCGGAAGGTATAGTTCTCATTATCTTCCTCAAAGATTTTGACTTACTAGTTTTAAATTATTCGCATTTTCTTGTTCATTTTAGGGAACTGTTAATCGCAGTTTCGTTTTATGTCGTTTATTTTCATCGAGTCGGCATTATTTCTGCGTAATAAAATCTAGCAGTCTGTGATATGTGAGCTGTTCTATTAGGGTGATTATAAATCTCTTCTCTGGTTGCAGTGGTTGCATCATTTCAATTAGTCATATCAAAAAATAAGGCACGATTAAGCTGACAATGCTGAACTCTTTTTCCCCTTACAAGATACTCACAACTTGTGGATATTCG